GGAAGGGAAGGGAAGGGAAGGAAAGGAAAGGAAAGGAAAGGAAAGGAAAGGAAAGGAAAGGAAAGGAAAGGAAAGGAAAGGAAAGGTCAGGTCTAGGGCCAGCCTGGGCTACACAGAGAGAACCTGTCACCAAAAAAAAAGTAGTATCATGAGACTGCAGGAATGACTCAGTGGTTAAGGGCACATACTGCTTTTGAAGAGGTCCCAACCTCAATTTCCCAGTGTCCAGGTCTGGCAGCTCACACTGCCTATATATCAGCAGCACCAGGCAGTCTGACGCCCTCTTCTGGCCGCTGCGGGCATGTGCATTCATGTGCACATACCCACACAGACACACATCCATATAATTAAAGAACTTTTTAAGTAACAGACTAAACCAGTTTACAGGTAAAAAAAGATGAGATTCAAACAGCTCAGAGAAGTTGCTGGAACACACAATAGAAAGTCCAGGCTGTCTGAGCATGAGGTGTTGGGATTCTGTGACTCTGGCCTGGAAATCTAGCAAGTCACCGTCACACTTCCGGCCATGATAGAAGACAGACAGGTGACTAGAGCCACATAGGGAACAACCAGGTGGATTCCAAGATGAAAGGAACATTGAACAACTCACCTACCACCATGACCAGGACAGAGGCAGATCGGGCCAGGCCGGTGACGTCATTGGAACTTGTACAGCTGTAAATGCCCTGATGCTCCTGCCTCAGAGCCTCAATGCTCAGTTGGTCCCCAGCAACTACCTCAGAGGAGTGCTCGTGGGTCCAGTGATACCTGGCATCTGGTTTGGAGTCAGCCCGGCAGTGCAGGGTCAGGCTGGAGTTGAACGCTGCCTCAATGGTGCTGATCACTCCAGACGCTGACCCCTGGGTGATGTCCACTCGGTCGGGGCCATCTGCAAAGTCACACATCATGAGTCTCCAATGGCACAGGCAAAATTACCAGATTTTTTTTTCTGTGTAGCCCTAGCCTTCCTGGAACTCACTCTGTAGACCAGGCTGGCCTCAAACTCACAGAGATCTACCTGCCTCTGCCTCCTGAGTGCTGGGATTAAGGGTTACACCACCACTGCCTGGCAGTTTATTGGTTTCACTTCGTTTTGCGACAGACTCCAGTAGCAAAGGCTATTCTCAAACTCACTCTTTAGCCAAGAATGGCCTTGAACTCCTGACCCTCCAGCCTCCATGTCTTGAATAGTGGGATTGTTGCCATGTACACCCACAGGCGGTTTAGCTTTCCTCCTTGGATTGAACTACAGGAATTCCAGCGTTCACATGGAAAACACAGGCTCTTCTGGCTTCTGTTATTTTATTTAGTCTTAAATGTTTGTTTATTTGTTTACTTATTGACAAGGTCTCTCTGTGTAGCCCTGGCTATCCTGGAACTCACCATGGAGACCATGAGGGTCTCTAACTCACAGAGATCCACCTGCCTCTGCTTCCAGAGTGCTGGGTAGGCATATGCCACCCCACCCAGCTTTGACCTTTGTTTGAAATTGTGGATACACAAGTGTTCGTGTGTGGGCGTGTATGGGCCGGTGCAGTGTTCTCTCTTATCTATTTTATCAGCCTGTACCTCTTGTCTCTGTGAGTAGGAAAATGTGTGTGGCATGACATCCGTGTGGAGGACAACTTGCAGGAACTGGTCCTCTCCTTCCACTCTGTGGGTCCTGAGGATTGAACTCAAGTCGTCAGGCTTTGGGGCAAGCACCTTTGCACCCTGAGCCATCATGCTGGCCCTTGTTAATCTCTTTAGGGTCTGTCGGCTACACTACAAGTTGCAGAATGCCTGAGACAGCTCTGTCCAGCCCCGAGATCCATGCCGGCATGCAAAAGGGTTCAGTGGTTCTCAACCTTCTCAGGACTACAACCCTTACAGTTCCTCATGTTGTGGTGACCCCACCACCACCACCACCACCACCACCAGAAAAAAAAAATTATTTTGTTGCTACTTCATAACAGTAATTTTGCTACTGTTATGAATTGTAATGTAAATTTTTGGAGATAGAGGGTTGCCAAAGGGCTGGTGAACCTACAGGGTGAGAACCACTGGGTGAACGGCTGACCACTTAAAAGGTCTGGCTTTCTCTTTTCCTTCCCTTTCCCTTTCTTCTCTTTTTTTCTTTTTTGTTACTTTTATGTGTTTGCCTTTTCAGATCATTGCTGACCTCAAATTTAAACTCCTTCTATCTTAGCCTCCCATGTGCTGAGATTATAAGTGTGTACCACTGCATCCAGAAAGAATTGACTCCTTAAAGAGGCAGGTATAGGGAAAGGAGGGAGAGAGGGAAGGAAAGAGGAAGGGAGGGAGGGAGGGAGGGAGGGAGGGAGGGAGGGAGGGAGGGAGGCAGAGACCCAGACCCAGCCACTCACAGTTGATGGTGAGCTTCAGGGGTTCGCTGCGTGCCTGGCTACCCCAGTTCCACACCTCACATTCATAGGGCCCAGTATCATTTCTCTGAAGGCCGTGGATGGTCAGGGTTCTGTTTTGGGATGACAGTGTCAGGTGCTCACTAGGCCTGAGCGGCTGACCCTTCAGATACCAACGGACATCAACCCCCTGGTGGCTGGTTTTGCAGGTCAGCGTCACAGAGGTGGCGTTCTCCACAAGGGACAAGGTTGGCAGCTCGATATACGGTGCAGTCACATTTTCTGGAAACACAGGGAGATACAGGTTCAGGATCAAGGAAGGATTCCTAAGACTTCTACACTGCCAGGGTGGTGCACGCCTTTAATCCCAGCACTTGGGAGGCAGAGGCAGGCGGATTTCTGAGTTCGAGGCCAGCCTGGTCTACAGAGTGAGCTCCAGGACAACCAGGGCTACACAGAGAAACTCTGTCTTGAAAAACCAGAATGTTATGTGTTTTGTGTGGGAGAAAAGTTTGTGGAATTGGGGT